TATTATTATTATTATCATTATTATTATAGTATTCTACGGGTTTAAAACCCGTTCACTAGCGTCTTTGATGGGGCGTTTAGGCGCTCTGCCTTCTCACTTATAAGATGTGAGTTTAATTCCGATAAGAGTAGGTTTAAGATCGAGTGTCTTCGTCTTCGCTGTATGTTAGAGTGTTGTTTGTATCCCTCTCAGCCCAAGCTGGTATTGCCAGTCGAAGCAGTCCGATTCCTGAATGATCCGGATTGCGTCGATTGGGGAGTGACATCTACAATTCCATATCGTATGAGAATGCCAGTTTCCGAAGCGACAGGTTGACTATCAGGCTGGACATCAGAGTATGACGCTTATATCTCTGAGTGGTTCAGACACGCTGACAGAACAGAGAAAGAAAAATGGCCGAAATGTTTACCCCTAGCAACACTCTATAGTATATTACGAGGCGGGGACTCCGAATTTAACGTCAATGTTCGATTGGAGCGAGCCAAAAGGGAATTTATAATTTAAAATTTATAACGCCGGATCAAGCTGGGACTTGAATTGCTTCGGACGCACCTGAACAGCGACACTGCCGAGAAGTGAAAGTCACTGAAGATGTCCAACGAAGTGCATGGAACGGGGACATGAAATCATCGGCCACCCCAAGGATCGTTATAAGCCCACTCTTACTAAGAATAGAGTACTTATTTTCGTGCACATTCCCTTTTTCTAGAGGCCTACAAAAAGAATTAACCGTAATGACAATAGGTCACGACTATTTTATAAAACGTAGTTTTCCTTTTCACAAAAAAATATAAGGAAAGCTAAGAAGCTAAAATGTGGAAACGCGTAGTATTCTACGTTATAACTGTGCCCGTTATGAAACGGTGTCAGAACAATGAAAAACCGAGAAAAGCGCTCACTCCCACACTATGGACTAAATATGATTTTCTGTTCCATCGACACACCGTCTACAATATGCGTTTTCAAAATTTTAATGCAGCAGGGCAAACAATCACGCATCAGAGTACAAAAATGTCAGAAGTTGCCAACGCCAGGACACTCATACCACGCCACAAAAAGAAAAAAACAAAACTAGGCTGCTTCCAGCGAGAACACCAGGTCTTGAGCTTCCCAAGCAGAATCACCACCTGTCATTCTTCAGCGCGGAATTGAGTTTTGTCCCATCCACCGCCCCCGAACTAACACTGACTGATTGACCCGAGAGACTGTAGCGTTTTTCCCTCGACATAATATCAGTTGTCTAGCTCTTTTGATTTTTTTCCTAAATTCCTTGGGGGGGGG